TGAATATATATATTAGTTCATTTCAACACTAAGATCGTAATAGTGCTTCATACTTAAAGTAATGTTTATATATCTAGTGACAAAGTACCGCGGATATTTTTTAGATGATCCAATATAATATAAAAATATAATATAATATAATTTTTATATTTATTAAAAACGCATTTATTTTGTACAAAAACACTTTTCAAATAAACACAAAATACCCGAAATGAAACGAGGCACATGTCCGACTTGTTCGTGTGGTTTCGGATTAGGTGACATGCTCACTTGTTCTAAATCCGTCATTGAACATTGGAGCACATGAATGCAATTGCTCTAACCATCTTACCTGTGATCTAAGTGCTCTGTGGGTTAATTTGGAGCATACGACGTGAACAAAACTTCTGTTACACTATAGGGTCTCTATAGCCGGTTCCAGAAAGATTACAATACTTTTTTTTCGATGGGTTTCGGAATGTAGCTTATTTACCAAGCGATTAGTTCTTATTTATAGATCCATGAGTATGAACCAATCATTCGGAGAGCAAACTGCGTTCCAAAACCATCGAAGAAAAAATATTGCAACCTTTCTATGACCAGTTGTATATATACTCATCGACTAAAAGGTTGCAACAGATTTCTTTATGATTTTCAGAATGCAACCTACTCATCACCGAGTGATTGGTTTTTACTTACGGATCTATAAGTAAGAACCAATCGCTCGGTGAACAGACTGCATTCCGAAACTTATTTCAAAAAAAGTGTTGCAACCTTTTGTTCGGTGAGTGTTCACGTACCGGCAGGAATGGTATCCTCTGGCGTTCGATGCGCGGCATTACATTATATCATATTTTATTTATTTATTTATTATATATTCTTATATTTAATTTTGCAATCTTGTGATGCAAAATATTAATTTCATTTGCATACTGAAAATTTATAAATGCATGCAAAGCTATTACAAAGCTATTATGAGTCTCAAAATTACATTTAATGTTGTAATTATGCACAAAAATTTTTTGCAGTATTACAAATTTTTATGCATAATTACAACATTTTGTACTTAATAAAAGTATTATTATGAATGACAAGCGAAAGACACCGGGGTATCTCATTCGTATTAGTAACAAATGTATAAGACAGCGAAAGGATATCGCGAGTCGACATCACGTCGAATTACGCTTTCTTTCTCTATCGTGCGCTTTGTGCCAAGGACAGAATATCGGAACCCTCCACCCAGTGAAAAATAACGGAATCGATGTCGATTCGACATCGAAATCATCAAATTGACGTTAAATTGACATCAATTTCATTATCATTTTTCACTGGGTGGAGGGTTCCGATATTACTTTCTTTCTTCGCGCTCTTCGTCTCCTTCATGTTTCCAGTAAAGGCTTAAACACAATAGGCACAGGCAATAGGCACAGGCAATAACAAGCCATCCAATCAGAACTTTGGTATTGTCACGTCAGCGGTACTTATAAAACTTGTCCAGGAATGTCCCTGGCCAAATTACAAATTTTTCCTTACTTCAATACCCGACGGGGCACTAGAACTGCAGGGACCGCCCCTGACATCTTCTCTCCACCTCACGCGCCCTACCAGCATGGAGGGGCACCTTTTTCCTGAAAGCGTTCGGGTTCTAAAAACGGGACTTGCTCTCGCGAGCAGCGAGTTTTTCGCGAGGAGTAGTTCAAAACTTCCCGGGGTCGGGTCTGGTCGAAGAGAAACGGTCTCTTCCAGAGTATCGCGATTTCTAGTTAAATTCCTAAATTCTACTCGCGTGAGCAATCCAATCTAATCATAGGTACATCTTATTTAATCTTCCTAGTTAACCGCGTCTAATTATTATAAATAGTTATAACATAAGTCTGGATATGTGTGTAGCAACTGCAGAAGTTATAAAATACACTAATTACTTTTGAGCAATTATAAGTACGTATATATATTAATATTTAACGAAACCTCTCCTTTTACAATAAACGCCGCCGCGCGTATACGTTTATCGTTTAACTTGGAAATCGTGTGTGTGAACGAGCGGAATCAGCGCCGGCCAATCATCGAGCACCTACAAGGAGCCTGACCAACCAGAGTCCAGACTGAGCCGCGCGTTCCGCACCACGGACCGAACCACCAGCAAGATTCATGAAGGTATTACCATAGGTTTCTTCTTAATCGAAAGGACGCGCAACTCTCGATTTGTTACCCGCCATTGGTCCCCGGTTTGTCCAGGTATCAATTACCAACGGTTGGACCTTGGGACGTAACAGTATATAAATTCGATATTACATCCCAGAGCTCTGATTGGATAGCTCGTTATTTTCTGTTCCCTATGCCTTAACACATACGTGTGTGTTTCGGTATGAGTGTGTAGCGTTTGTAGTGCGTGTACTAGGTGGGGTGAAAAGTAACCTCCCTGGGAATGAAAAAAATTTTTTTCTTATGCAGAATCTCGCCCAAAATATGGCGTATTCGCTCAGTACTAATCTTTGTAGCATCTGCTAGCTCGCGCACCTTCACTTTCCGGTCAGCCAACACCATTTCATGTATTTTTTTGACATTTTCCTCGGTAACCGCATCGGAGGGCCTGCCGCTGCGGACTTCATCGGTAGTGGAGTTGCGGCCACCACGAAACTCTCGAAACCAATATTTGACGATGTAATCTGACGGAGTATTAGCCACATAATATTTATCCAACTTTTCTTTTGTTTCCTTCGCCGTTTTGCCTCTCAAAAAATAATGTTTTATGAGAGAACGAAAATCGTTTTCGCAAACACGTCAACAACAATCAGCTCTCAAAACAAAACTAAGGGCAGTATCGCACTGCCACTTGGCATGTCTGCCTAAATATGAACGGACTACAAGGCACCATAAACTTTTTTGCAGTAGTGGCGCATTCTGGCGGTCAAGGAGGTTACCTTTCACCCCATCTAATACATGTGCACAGAAATTTGTCTAATATGCTCAATGTTGTGCTCTGTAAATCTACATGGCATCTTATACTTGAGCGGGGAGCACAGACTCTTGCATAATACATGACATATAAAACATAAGAAATCCAACCAGAGTTCTTTATTTCATGAAAAGGAAGGAAACGAAGGACTTTGATTGGTACATTTTTTTATATATTACGTGTTATGTAAGAGTGCTTCCCGTTTTATTGGTTCAGTGCTATGCTATGGTTATACAGTTTATGTCATTTTGTGTATAATAGGCTTATTATTTAAGAAATTGAGCATCGTGCGATTCCATCTTTATGGGTGTGATCGAGTTGCCACTACGAATGCTTCGAAGCATTTAATTAACCAATTGGAAGAAAAAATTTTACTAATTAACTAATCAAAAAATGCTCCGAAGCATTCGTAGCAACTCGACCGCATCCAATTGCTGAATTCATACTGGATCCGAAGAAGCAGAATTTTATTTCGTATCGATGATTTGAAGCAAAATCCTGTTTTCTAATTAGTTGCAGAGCATCGTATGACGCATGTCGGATCCAGTGTAAATCCAGCATATGTTACTGCCTTAAGTTTTTGTGTGCCATGGCCTTTACCGGATGAATCTACAATTGGTTTTTAAGCCTTAAGCTATAAGAAATGGACGAATCACAATTAATTATTCTTCTCGCATTTGACTGTAGTTGATCAATTTCTTATAATATAAAGCTCGTATCAGACTATCGATTCTACAAGCCGACCTGACTAACAACTCTGCCGACCAATAATGGACCAATCACAATAAGACTGATTCGATCGGCTTGCAGAGTCGGTAGTTTAATAAAGGCTTAAGGTTTAAAACACTTCTTGTAGATCCGAACTTACATCATGTATCAATCTTATGTCTATGGTCTTTAGTTGACTTTGCATACGCAGCACGTTGCGACAGCAATTCGTAACTATTGGTTAAAAATTTTACATGAGATGACGCACTTCCGACGCAAAATACATTTTGCCGCATTTCTTATTGAAGTTCAACTGAATGAACTATAAGCAGCAAAGAAGCCGAGAAAGTCTGCAATATTTACAAAAAATGTGAAAATTGAATACATTTGTAATGAATACATACAATGAGTACATTTTTTATTAAGATTTGAAGTGAAGGGGATATTCTAAATTCTAAATAATTACTTGAAATAATAGTTATTCAAATTGTAACTGCATTAACAGTTGCACTAACAGTATAATCACATGTTTTTAGCTTTTTAAGTTTTTCATATGCAAATATAAGACATATATTTGAGGTTAAACTTTAATATATATATATATTGGGTCATCTAAAAAGTATCCGCGGTTTTTTGTCACTAGATGTGTGTTGATGATCATATATCTAGTGACAAAGTACCGCGGACACTTTTTAGATGACCCAATATGTTGTTTCCGTTATTCCTTTTATGCAAATGCAGCTGAAACAATTATGAAAAATTGGCATCACGTGATATTTTTATTGCCGCAGCGTGCTACGCATGAAAAGGCACCTTTTCAATGGGTGCATTTAGTACTACAACCACTTACCGAGCGCTTAGTGAACTCTTGCATCTAATTGATATATTCTGTTAGAACTAAAAATATAGACCAAACAGATATAAGAGCTTACTGAGCGGTCGTAGTATTGGGCACGTTGAAATTGATAAAAGGCCTGTTCTTAATGGTTGAACTTTTTTTACATCAGTTCATTTTTCTTCCTCTTCTTTCTTTCTGGAGAGAAAAGAATAGACATTCAAAAAGAATAATAACCGGGCCTAAGCCCGGATCCTCATACAGACAACAGCGCTTTGACACAGAGCGCTAATTGGTAAAAAGTCTGTTGTGGTAAAATTTATCTCCATTACTCGTTTTTCACCAATCAGCGTTCGGTGTCCGTAAAGCACTGTTGTCCGTATGAGAATCTGGGCTAAAACAGCTAGCCCAAATGAACACAATTGGTTGTTTCTTATAGATTCAACCAATCATATACAATCGCTCGGTAAGCATGTCTAGCTGCTTTGCCATCTTGAACTCGCCCACTGAATACATTCCATGTCTGCTTTCCACCATATTTTATGTGGTGTTTGATTGATTTGTTATTTATATTATTAGCATGCAAGAGAGCCTTTGGGTTTTTCTTTCACGTTGTTTGTTTAGACTTCCATCGTTTTACAGTGCAGCGTAAACTAGAATTTTTTAAATATCATTTTAACCGTGCATTATCGGCTAAAAAAAGATCGAACAAAAATCATTTTAGAGCAATCACTGACGTTTTAGGCCGATTTTAATTAATAGCCGAGTCTTTCAATCAACTGAACAGTTTGTCAGAAAATCTACGTCCGTCACTTCGTTACATGATAATGGCTAATAATGGTACGTTGCTCAAGAAATAAATTTTCCGTGCTTGTAATCACGTATGGTACTTAGGTTATGTTTAATCTAATTGTAGACGAGAACAAAAGCGAGAATTCCGCCGAAATAAAAGCTGAAAACGAGGGGGAGGACTCCGAGGAGCCTGATAAGATATTAATTATAGATCCTGATAGCGAAGTGTGTTTTTTACTTAATTATTTTTATTAAACAGAATACTTAATACGTTTTCGAAAGATATAAATCCTAACATCGAAGTGTGTCTCTTGATGTCCATTTTTATCAATATATATTGAACTTTAATCTTGGTTCGACGGAACTTATTCTTCAATTTTTTCTAGCTTTAATAATCATTTCTACCAATATAGATTAAATTATTCATTTAACTTGTTATTTTTTAGTTCTAAGAATTAGAAAAAGGTAAATAACAAATTAAACCGAGATTAAATTACATTGGTAGAACTGTAGACGTACAATTAAAAAAAAAAGAGTTGAATCAAAATTAAAGTGAATAATTTTAATAGAAATGGACATTACTCTTTTATTTTGATCTGTTAAATGAAATTTAAATTTTTCAAATTCAAAAATCATATATTGCTGTAAGTTACTTTATCAATGAGATTGTTATATCGATTGTTTTAGGAATTAGACTTCAATCACTCAAGATTAACTAAACTGGAAAATCTAGAACCATTAACACAAGTACGAAGATTATGCTTTACATGGAACCTCATTAAAAAGATAGAAAATCTTGATACACTTATTAGTTTGGTAGAATTGGAATTAAGGGATAATCAAATTATAACAATAGAAAATCTAGATGCCCTGCTGAATCTAGAGTATGTCTTCGACTTTAATTTTATATAATGCATGACATATATGTACACACACACACACACACACACACACACACACACACACACACACACACACACACACACACACACACACAAAATTCTAATAATTTTTATGGGGTTTCAGACTCTTGGACTTGTCATTTAATCGCATTAAGAAAATAGAAGGGTTAAGCAACTTACTGAATTTACAAAAATTATTTTTATCGTCAAATAAGATTTTACAAATTGAGAATATCTCGCATCTGACAAATCTTGTGACGCTGGAATTAGGCGATAATAAGATACGTGAAATTGAGAACCTTGAGGGTCTCGAGAATCTGACCAATTTGTTTCTTGGTAAAAACAAAATTACCAAAATCCAAAACTTGGAAAATCTGAAAAATCTCACGTTATTAAGTTTACAGAGTAATCGAATTACAAAGATTGAGAATATTGAAGAATTAAAAAAATTGAATCAATTGTACTTGTCTGAAAATGGTATAATGTGTATAGAGGGCATAGAAAATTGTCCAGAATTAACAACATTGGATTTAGCTAATAATAAAATTAAAAAGATTCAAAATATGGATCATCTTGAAAGTCTTGAAGATTTCTGGGTAAAAGGAATTGATTAATAAAAACTTCTGTATTATATAACATGTATTATTATAACTGATAATTTATTTTTATTTAACATTTACAGATGAATAACAATGAAATTGAAGATTGGAACACATTGGAGAGTTTAACAGCCAACAAACAATTACAGACCGTATATCTGGAGCACAATCCCATTGCGAAAGAGCCAAATTATCGAAGAAAGGTCATGTTGCTATTGCCATGGCTCGAACAGTTAGATGCAACTCTTTGTAAGAGAAAAACGGGACAACAATGGGGAGAATAACAATAAGTAATACATGAATAGGAAGTACGATTAAAAGAAATAGCATAAGTCTATGAAGAATCTATGTGATGAAATCCAAAATTACATTGTTACTTTTTTTATATTGTATCCTGATATGATAGAAGCTTGGCCATATAAGATTAATAATAACACTACTGAAAACATGCTTGATATTATAACTACTCTGAAACTACTTGATGTTGGCGTTTGTTTATTCAAAAAAATTTTTTTTGTGGAAAGAAAAATAAGAATTAAAATATGAGACAGTTCTCGTGTCGTGATAAATTTAAATAATTCTTTATTTTGAAAAAATCTACATATTCTTTCTACTCTAATATATATACTATCATATTATATTTGTACACATTTTTACTTTTATCTGCACCAATCTTTATCGATTATTTAAAGAAGCTAATGTATAGACTTTATAATATTCCAACACACACACGCACGCACGCACGCACGCACGCACACACACACACACACACACACACACACACACACACACACACACACACACATTTATTTTTAACAACATATTGTTACAAAAATAAGATATATATTTGTATTTTATAGCAGCGCAAGGCAACTTTTTGTAATCACGACTTTGTTGATTCATCTTGATGCGATTATTGTTAAAATGTAATCATATACAAAATATTCTAAGCTTATACAAATCAATCATTAAATGTCTCCAATTCGGCCAAAAACCGATCATCTCTGCAATTTATTTTTAAATTGCAATGTGAAACAACAGTAGAAAATAATTATAGCTTGAATTATATCTTTCCTGATTAATTAAATTAAAATTAATTATTTTGTTATCAATATGTAATTCAAAATCATTAACGGAAGAATAATTTCTATATGAAATAAATTATGTCCTAAATCTGTTTGTTCAATGAATTTTCTATTATACATTTACATTTTCTTTCCTTCGAGTCTGCGTGCGTATCTGTTCTATCTTGAAAAATACAAAGAATATAATTAAAATCATCGATCTACCATCACTGTACTTTTATCTTTTCTCTTATATCCATTTCTACTAACATAAATTAATTTTAATCTCGATTTAACTTACATTTTGTCTTTTCTTCGTTCTAACAAACATGGAATCGTCGAAACTGACTCACCGATTTTAATGAGTTTTGGATATGTTCCCAATCAGCAAAGAAATGTTTCTGAAATGTTTTTTCATTGCAAAAAAACATTTAAAAACATTTAATTAATGGGATTGATCCTTTTCATTAATTAAAAAAACATTTTTTTTTTTACATTTAAAATCCAGCCGGTAAGTGAAAAAGATAAAAATATAATTAAAAATTAGAATTAATTAATAAAATTAGTTGTCTAAGGTTTAGGCATTGTTGAAAAAAAAATGTAAAAAAGATTTTACATTGTTATTTTTTCTAATCTTGTTCAAATAATTTTAAAAAATGTTTCTTTAAACGTTAAATAAACGTTTTTTAAATGTTAAGACAATGTTTTTTGAAATTATTTTAAATAAAAAATAAATTCAAGACATTAAATAAACGTTAAATAAACGTTTAAATAATGTTTTTCCAATCATTTATTTCAAATGAAAAATTATAATGTAAAATAAGCATTTAATAAACGTTAAATTAATGAATTTTGAAAACAAATGAAAAATGTAAAATTAATAAAAAATAAACATTTAAAAAACAAACAAGTATAGAAATCAAAGTTTTAAACGGTCTAGCTGGATCTTAAATGCTTGTATGATTCTTGTGTGAATTTATATATTATGTATGTAGTCCTCAGAAACGCGCGCTGAAATAATTTTTCGATCTTGAAAACGCTAACTCTACTAAACTACGCAGTAATATCACGAGTTAAACTAACTAGCAATTTAATAAATTTTTTTATGCTTATTCGTATCTTCGAAACGTATCACACATATACGATACTATAATATATTATATTATTTAAAAAACATTTGAGAAACATTTAAGAAACATTGTCTGCTGATTGGGGATCTACGATATAAAAAGCAATATTGTGTTCAGCATAAAATGCTGCTAATTTAATTTCGGCTCGTTTGACTTTATGTAATAATTCTATCAATTCATTATTGTCATCAATCGATTTTTTTATATTTTCAATATATTTGTGAGTGCTAAATTAAATCTGATCTTTTAGCACAGCTAATGAGTTTATTGCATGCAATACATGCATACAAAGCTTTATTTTCTTGATGGTAGTTGAAACCAATTATTCCTTAAAAACTTTTTGTCTAGCCAAAAATTGGAATTCTCTAATCTTACGTTTTTTAATTTTCTTCCTTTTCTATTTAAATTCATATTATTAGGTGTTGGAATTAATTCGTAGCGTTTTTAAATGAAAGAATGTTATTTATTTCACATGAGCATTAAAAAATACATTAATGAAAGTACTTCCCATCACTTGTAAAACGCTACGAATTAATTCCAACACCTAATAAAATAAAATATACTCACCTTATTTTAACCTATCCTATTCTTATGCAGAGACCGCCAAGACTAGGCTACACTTCCACTAAAGCTCCTAATTAGTCGCGGCAGCCATGTTGGAATCGTGACATCAGAAGCGAGGAATGATACGTTAATTTATGTTGTGTGCCATTTTTAAATAAAGACAATTTGGATGAAACGAAATGATGAGATACTTGTAAAAATCGATGAAAACTGTCCTTTCCTCCCTGATGATAGTCAGTAAATGGTCGTAAAAGCTATTTAAAGTGCCTATATTCGGGCAGAAATACACAATCCGACAGCTGTTGAAATAAGTGAAATATATGCTTTTATATATAAAATTCCAAGATAACTGTAGTTTTCATCGATAATGACGACTTTGATAAGTACGAGACAAGTCACATTTTCACAATTAGGCAAATAATAACGAAATGGCATGCAACATAAATTTCATCGTCAAAATGTCACTTTTCCATGCCTATAAGTTTGGCCATTTATCGTGGTGCGGCGTTGTAACACCAAACAATGTGGGAACATGAGACTCGATTGACGAGTCTGCCTCTCAAGACAAGTCCACGCTTGTCGTATGACGTGATGGAAAATGTAAAGATCAACCACTTTGCTTGATATTAGTAACGATGAATTTATTACAGAAGCATATGTATATGACCGTACAGGACGAGCGCCATGCTCTAATAATCTCTCTTCTTATTTTCTGTTGACGCTGCTTGTAGGCAACTCGCAACAAAATCCCTAGGCTTCCTCCGTTCGCTGTGCTAGTGAGGCATTGAGAACGTAGTTCCCTACATACTCCCCTCCCCCCTTCCGAGTGACAACGAATCTAAACTCTATGCTTATTTACTAGATTTAAAAAATACTACTTTAGTGACAGGTACATTTATAATGCCGCCACTTAGGTCTACACATATCATATAAAACATATCGTTGCGTATTGTCTTTGATGACTGTCTTAAGCTAATTACATTTGTCGCTGGGAGAACTTATTATAATTATATGGCGAAGAACTTTTTTCTTCGGATGTTTTTAAAACTGGTTGCTCGTTGCTGAATGAATTGGTTGTTTTTCCTGCCTCTGAGGTTGCATTACATAAGTCATCGTGTATGCAATAATGGTTTCGAAATTTTCGACCGATACACTACGTTGTGTACCGTTAACATTAACGTCGAATACGCGATCCGACACACGATTTATAATTTTGTGAGGACGTGTAAAGACGCTCTAACGATCTTTTGGTACCGCCCATCCGTAGAAACACATGGGAGCATGAATATAAATCTTTGAATACAAATGTGCGTTTCTTATGTTTATGCTTTATCGAGATTGGCTTAACTTTGCGCATATGCTCACGAAATTCTTCGAACATTTTAGGATTAGAAATAAAGTCGTCCGGCAGTACAGTTCTCCGGGGACGCGCAACGTCGTTCCGTAAACGAATTCCGCAGGCGATGTACTGGTATCAAGGCGGACATACGCAGACCTAATAGTACAGTCGAAAATACTCGTGACCAACCTTCATTAGCATGACACATGATTGCAGTCTTTAAGCTTCGATGTCACCGCTCGATCATTCCGTTCGAGGCGGGGTGATACGCCGTGGTATGAATCCGTTGACAGCCGATCAGCTGAAGAAATGCAATGAAAAGTTGTGCTTCGAACTGGCTACCTTGATCAATGGTTATCGTTTTAGGTGCTCTAAAATTTGCCATCCAATTGTCGTAAAACGCGCGTGCCACTGTAATGGCTTTGATGTCTTTAAGAGGTATTGCTACTAGCCACCGCGAAAATCTATCAATGATCGTCGCACAATATTTGTACCCGTCCGACTCAGGCAAGGGACCTATTAAATCCATGTGAACGTGCTCGAAACGACCGTCAGGCATGATAAATTTTTCAGGATTTAGTTGAATGTGTCGGGTTATTTTTGACTGTTGACAATCTAGACAATTTTTGCACCACTTCGCAATGTCGCGATGCATGTTAGGCCACACATACCGTTGACGGATTATCCGATCAGTGACTTTAGGACCCGGATGAGCTGCGTCATCGAACATGCGAAAGACGCGATTTCGTAAAGATGCCGGTATATAGGGGCGGATTGCCTCGCCGGTCATTTCACAATAAAGTATGGTATGCGTCGGTCCCCATTGAATTCGCTTCATGGTAAGCGGAAATTTAGGAGATTCGCGGATGGACCGAGCTTCTCTTCTTGTTCCTGTTGCTGTGCAAGCTCATTTAGTTCAATCTCGGTAGGTAAGCGGATGGCTTCGATGCGAGAAAGGGAATCCGCCACGATATTATCATTGCCCGATAGGGCGTATTCGATACGCGTGGTGTATTCGATACGCGTGGTGAACTGCGAGATGAACGACAGTTGTCTCTGTTGCCGGTGTTGTCTTTTCGGAACGTTGCATGAATGCGTAGATGAGAGGCTTGTGATCTGTCTTGAAATTCCGTCCTTCAAGGAAATAACGAAAGTATTTCACTGCCTCGGCAATTGCCGTAAGCTCCTGATCATACGCGCTAATTTTGTTGCGCTGAACTTAATTTGCGCGAAAAAAAACGCGAGAGGTTTCCAAGAGGCATTGTTGGAGGGCGGCCTCGATGGCAAAATCTGACGCGTCACAAACGGCGCGTCTCAGCTGCGTCGGAGGGGAAGAAAGCATAGTCGCTCCGGCCAGATTCTCTTTGCACTTATTAAACGCTTCCTGAGCCACCGGCGTCCATATGATTGGCCATTTGTTTTTGCGTGAGTCGCGAAAGTACTCGTTTAGTGGTGCCTGAACAGTAGCTGCATCATGCAGTAGTCTACGATAAAAATTGACAAGCCCAAGAAAACGACGCAATTTAACTATAGTGTTAGGCCTTGGAAACTCGCGAATGGCCTGAACCTTTTCGAGTGTTGGTTTACAACCTTCGCTGTTAATCATAAAGCCGAGGAATTCTAAATTGCTTGCTTGCGAATTAGTATTTCTCTATATTGAGTCGTAAGTAAAACTTTTTTAATCGCTGTAACACTATGCGTAAGTGGGTTTCATGCTCTTTAAGAGACGTCGACGCTATGAAAATGTCGTCGATGAATGCAAACACAAATTCCAGGTCACCTAGTGCGCGGAAGATTTGATGCTGAAATGTTTGATTCGCATTTCTAAGACCGTATGTCATAAATTTATATTCGAACAGCCCGAAGAACGACAGCCGTTTTCGGAATATCTTCCGGTGCCACTGGAATTTGGTTGTATGCTTGATGCAGATCTAGCTTAGAGAAAATGACTTTCCCACGCAGGTTGGAGAAGCAGTCGTGCAAATGTGGGAAATTTATTCCGGCACTGTGACGCATTAAGACGACAGTAATCGTCCAGATCCTCCATAACTCGTTTTTTTTTTGTACCATGTGGATGGTACTCGACCATGGACTACTGGACGGTATATACCGGCTTCGACTAGCCGTTGAAATTCAGCCTTTGCTGCTTTTAATTTTACCGGACTTAATCGCCTGGAGCGCTCGGCTACAGGCGGCTCATGATAATGACGTGATGACGAACATCACTGCTGCAATTCGGAGTTGCCTGTTCTAGATCGGACCTCAGGGAATTCAGATAAAATGCGCACGAACTTCGTACTGGGATTGACCATGCTGATGGCCAGCTATGGTACAGATTTGACAATGCCCGACACGTACACATTGTTTTGCGGATCGATGAGTCTGTGATCCTTAAGGTCCGGAAGAAGACCGTAATGTGCAATCAGGTCGACCCCAATAATCAGGTACGAAACTGATGCTACGCAAAAATTCCATGTGAGCGGGCGTATCCGTAAATGTAGGGTTCGGAACGACTCCCCATACGTGTCTATACGCGTATTGTTTGCTGCATAAAGCTTGAAATTGGTCGGAGTTTTGTTCTTCGCGTATCTGCTGGGAAGCAGCGAAATTTTCGCCCCCATATCAACAAGGAATAACTCTCCGGTGACTCAATCGCGGATGTGGAGACAGAAGAATCAATGCCCACCATACCTGTCTCCTCGGTGGCAGACGATCTATTCCCCCACCTTCCCGTCCGTTAAAGCCTTGGGCTTAGGCCAAGAGCACGGGGATTTGTCAGTTCCCTTACAAACTCATGCCTGATCCCCGAAAGTTCGATGAGACCAGCAGACACTAGAGCGTTTATTTTTGGAACGCTTACGATTTTTGTTTGTCTCGGCTCTCGCTTGAGATCTGCTGGATCGCTTGACCCGAGCCGTGAGAGTGGCCATATCGGCGGCTAGACAGTCGATCCTAGCTACTAAGTCGGACGGCTTCGATTCTGACAACGATATGACAGCACACTGCGCAGAGTCTCTCGCGGTTTCAGTTATTTTATCCGCCATTTTGGCTAGCTTGTCTAAATCCGTGCATTCGGAAGTCTCAAGAATGCCTCTAATGTACGGCGATAAGTATTCAAAAAATACAGTTTTTTTACGGCGTCGTCGCATCGCTTGTCAGTGTTCAAGTTGCGGAGTCGACTGAGGATCTGCGACGGTTTCCCTGGCGTAAGCACTTAGCCTTCATTTATTAGTTGTCGCAGTTGACTCTCTGCTGACGTTGAAAAATTTTCAATAATACGCTGTTTTAATTTGGTGTAGTTCGTTCTCATCGATGAGATCTCTGCAGCATCACGTGATGCGCCTTAAGGGGTTATCCGGGTCTAGAAGGCAAAAAAAAGGCCTATTTTCGTGAATTTTTTTAAAAGATCCTACGACAATTTTAAAATTTTCGTTTATTGGATATTAAAATATAATGTTTGAACTACACTGTATAAAATTTTGAACGAAAAATATTGAAAAATGAGCCGTTGAGAAATGCTTAATGTTGACCACGCCAAAAAAAGTGTCCTTGCGGTAGTTACATTATCTCCGTCAATTTTCATCTGAAATCAAAAACCCAAAGTTTTTCTGTTAGTGTATGCGTATGGCTTGTCTTTGAACGAAGGATTCTTTTTTTAATTAAAAATTGAATTTTTTGTAGCGTTTTTTATAAAAAGTGTCAACAAAAACATGTCTAAAAGCAGTGTGCAAAAGCAGAAGTCGATCGGTGCAATAGTTTTTGAGAAAAAGTAACTACCGACTTCAAAAAAGTGATTTTGAGAAAAACGCGTTTAAAGTTTTAATTTTTTGCTCTGTGATTCGTGCGGCCTCGAACGTGGCCTCGACTTGAATGAACTACATTACCGGATCTTTGATTAAGAACGGTGGAATTTTCGGAACCGTATATAAATCCACGCAAACGACATTGCCCTGCTGAAGCGTCGCTTGCAACTGCACCAACTGCTCCTGCAATTCCTCAATGGTGGGAAGAGCCATGACTACACGTCTACCGTGTCGAAGTTCACAAACAATCAATATTCCCTAACAGCCTTAAATACTAACCGCTAACGCGCGCTATGTAAACCATCGATCGCTTAATACTAATTTGTCAACTATGGAGAAATCATTAATTAATGTTCATGCGTTAACCTCGCGAAAAAAACGCGGAGGATTTATTTTAATATTGTGCCGGATCACGCGCGCTAAAACTGATGCATTGCGCACGCTACTTGCCCGACTACAATGGCGACGATGTGCTTCACTGGTCACAATGGCGGCAATATCGATAGCGATGGCGTACTAAACGCCGGCTCATGGCCTGTCCGGTTCCTACGCACGCTGCGCGCCTGTCGTTGGATCTGTCCCTGCGATGCTTCCGACGGCGAGACTGTTCTGCCGGTCCCGGTCTCAGCGATGGGACCTTGCGACCGGTCAGAATATCGGCGATGGGTCTCCTGCCGATCACAATGTCGACGATGGACCTCTGTCGGCCATGACGTCGGCAACATGCACTGCTGCTCGGTTCGAAACCAAGTTCGTTTCGAAATTGCTCGAACGACGGTTGCCAGTCAATCACGTCTTCCTCTCGATCACATCGGGGTCATCAATGTGGGGATACTGATTGATAAGTCTGCCTCTCAAGACAAGCCATGCTTGTCGTATGACGTGATGGAAGGTGTAAAGATCGACCACTTTGCTTGGAATTAGTAACGATGAATTTATTACAGAAGCAAGTATGTACATATATGACCGTACAGGACGAGCGCCAAGCTCTAATAATCTTTCTTTTTATTTTCTGTTGACGCTGCTTGTAGGCAACTCGCAACCTACAAAATCCCTAGGCTTCCTCCGCTCGCTGCGCTAGTGAGGTATTGAGAACGTAGTTCCCTACAACAAGCACGAGCCCATGTTCGTGTGCTCGTCTGCGGCGCGCCGAGAGTGAACGAGACAGTAAGCTCCTTCTTCTAGTAGCTTGTTTCAAGCGACCGAAGATGCTTTTTCGGCAATCTCGGCCGCTCGACGACACAGAACATATACTAAGAGAAGCATTCGTGTTAATGGAAACAAATACGATAGCAGTACTCCAAGTGGATTGACCCTTGTACTACATAAGGCTGGATTCGATTTGGACGCTCATGCTCTTTAAGCGCTTATAATCGTCATATATATATATATGTTAGGTTACAGTCCACTTAATGAAATAATACAAGGGAGCAAAGGGAGTGGAATATTTAAAAAAAAATAACTAATGAGAATAGAGTAAAAAGTTAAAATATTTATTATAATCATATGAGACAACATTTTTAGTCTTTAATATCACAAGAAATATATAATTATATATATATGAGACAACATTCTCAGTTTTTAATATATCACAAAAAAAAACATCAATTCCTGCAACTAGGAAATTTTTTTTATAATATTGAAAAGAAGTAACGTTGCTAAAATATTTTACGAAAGCTCGAAAATCAAATGCAATATTGACCAACAAAAATTAAAAAAAAAACTTAAAATTAATCAAAACAATTTGTTTTTAAAAGAGGAATGATTTTTTTACATAATATGGTTTCCAAGTTCCTTTCAGTCTTTTCCGTCCTTAATCTAAATATATTATTCCTCTTAATTTATACTTAAATAAACTTTGGTATATAAAAATACTAAATAATGTCATCACAAATTATTATACACAGCCGGAGACCAAATACAATTAATTAACACTAAAATTAAAAATAAAAATTTAATAAAATTGAAAATAAAATTTCCTGGTTAATTACAAATGTGTAGCTAGTTGGGTCAACCTTATTCTCTGCACACAATTCGGATAGGGCTCTTCTCTAAGTGGAATCTTGGTCGCAAACAGTTGCTTTCACTTTAATGCCAATCTTCTAAAGTTGCGAAATAATAATAATTATTATAGATTTTAGGTTACTGCAGAAAATTATATCAGTCGTGAAATAATAAGCAATTATTACTTGCTTTCAAGATCTTTTTAGGCCACGAATCATAAAAACAAGCGCGTGATTAGCAGTTTTAGAAGTTCGACCCAACCCTAAGTCTTCATAACCAGTAATCTGTTCTTTATGTGCTTCGTAGTGATAACCTTTACTTAAGAATATTTCGAATACTAAAGTGCAATATCGATCCAATTCGTCCATTTCATCGCTTTTTATTTTTAATTGTTCTAAAAGGAGTTCATTTACTCCGGTGTCAAAAGGAACTTTTGACAAAACTTGTTTTAGTGTGCGAATTGATGGCAATTGAAAGTAGATGGACAAATATTTATAGAGGCCAGGACTTCGTTTATACATTGACAAAGCGAAAGTCTTATCCTTTTCTGTTCTTCTACCAACAGGAGTGCGATTTGCATTTCGTAATTGTGAATTGATAAAATTTGTTGTAACGCTATTGAGTTTATTATTAATGCATTCAAAAACATTATCATCATACATCGATTTCAATTTTGTCAAAGCATTTCTTTTGTCATTAAGTTGTTTTTTTACTTTACACAATTGAGCAGTAACCTTGCGATGAATTTTATACATGGCTCTTTTTCGCGGTGACATAGACTTTAAAGTTGTTCCTATCTTTTTTAAAATTCCGTTTTTTCGTTTTTTTATGGGGATTAATGATCCATCATGAAGTTCTAAATCATTAAAATTACAATTTTCAACATTATCATTTATATCCTTACAAATATATGGATCAGAATTATTTTTATTTGTTGAATTTATTGAGCAATTTCTAGAGTGACCTATTAGGAAATTCAATGGGAGTTACTTCATAAATCTTGTCACTATTTACGGAAGGTTTCACACAAGGCAGGATTCGCAATTTCAGAAGATTCGTTACAAATTACAAATTATGATACAGCGTTATTAATAAAAGAATAAGTGATTTCAAAATTTTTAGGTATAACATTTTGATTTAAAAGATGCTTTGAAAAATTTACGAAATTTTCACAAAAATGATCTTCGCAAATTCGCAAATTTTGACATTTAATTGAAGTATCAATACTACAGCAAGCTTCCATTTTGTGAAAATGTCGGGATTTGTGGGGAATCGATAAAAATGTTTGTTAATAATTTTGTGGGCCTCACCTTTCGACTAATAGTAGCTGTTGCCACATTTAAGGAACATACAAGAAAATTTTTGTCGTGAAGGCATGTAGAAAATATCTATTTCAAATCATATATATTCTTTTATAGACCTTAAACGTAAAAAAAATAAATTTAATTGAATTGAAATTTACACAAACTAATGTTATTGTAAATTGAAGTTCTATCCAAGAAATCAGTTAAATATGATCATCGAAAGAAACCTATTAACATCAGTTTTCATCTTACATTCTATATATCATCAATTTTCATCTTACATTTTACATTGCCTTAAATTGTCTCAATTTCCTCTTACATTCTATATTGCTTTGTCCAATTTCCTCTTACATTCTATATTGCCTTCCCCAATTTCCTCTTACATTCTATATTGCCTTGTTTCTATAATGTTTCATTCTCGACAGTTCTTTTCTTCGGTCGATATCATAATTCCTAGAACATAACATGCAACATTACAATTGTGTTTATAGATTATTTAAATTATTGTTTTATAAAAAACAATATACAATAAAAATTAATTCAGTAAAATTTGTAGTGAAGAACAAATCTAAACGTTAATCGATGTAAAAATAGAACCTTTTTTTTGCCATTAGACACTCCTAATGAAAAGCATGCATAAGCCATTTTGAATGCCATTCTCGTTGTATTTGTAAGTATGATATCAATATTTAAATGCAGATTTTTACATTATCGTGCATAATATTCATGGATAACAGATGAATGTGTGATGACCTAAAAAATACGTTTCTGTTCGATTATATTCGAAAAAATATCAATAAGAATATAAATGAAATCCTTAATAAAAAAAGAAGAGACCTAATCTATCCTACAATTGCCCAGTAACTCACCAATCGACAATATTCTCTTGATCCTTGATGATTTAAAATTATGTAATATCGGCTTCTGTTTAACTTTGGAATTCAATCCTTTGCTCTTCCTTCTTCACAATTCTTTCTTTTAGTATCTAAAATAATGGGAAAAACACGTGATATACATAGCTGACAAAACGTTAAACAAATCTAAATAAAAGGCATTTAAGAGTCAATCATAATAAGATTTAAATATAAAAAATAACGGAAGAAACACGTGATATACTTAGCTAGCAAACTTCTAGTGCCTCATTTCGGTTGAGATGTAGATGCGCGCGCATATATTTTACCCCCGTTTCTAGTTGGCCCGTCAGCTATGTCTGTTTTCAGTTTCAAGATTTAACTTTCCCTCCAATGCTCGACGGCTCTAGACATCAATAAGGGGCGGAGGTATCCTAAATAACATTTAAGTTTTAATAAATTAGTAATAGTATATCTCTCTCATTAATCCAGAATAGTATAAATCATGTTAAAACGCAATAGTTTATAGATATTATGAGATATTTAATTGTTTATGATTTTTCATGGCGTTATATACCTTTTCTTCATAAACTCGAATAGCAAGAATAGTTCAGTAAAAATAGAATTTTACTGGAAAAAATTATAAGCATTTCTTTTCACAAAAGACCATCGGAAAAGAAATGTGTATGTTTGAGATTTGAGATTCGTGAAGAAAATATGCGAAAAAATCGAATAATTGCAAAAAGTATTTCGCTTATAAAACGAAAGATATTGAATGTACGAAAAAAAATCGGTATAAAAAAATGTATTCGAAATAACCACGTAAAATGAGATGTGGAACATTAAAATCGATCTATTAGTTCAGTAGAAAAAAAAATTAAAATCCCGTATAACAAATCAAATTAACTAACTCTTTATAAATCAAAGAAGAAGGTCTCTTGATTTCTCTGGTCGTATGTTCCTACTCAATGTTTTCTCTGTGCCTTCTTCAATGTCTTAATCCCCTTCTCTATATGTTAAATTTCTCCCTCTTTCACAGTACCTTTCCCTCTTCTTGGAAATACTCAATTGTTCTTCCCATTCCTAAAACCAATAAATCTTCTTCTCCTTCTTCTTTTCGCCCTATCTCGTTCCCCCCTTTCCTCTCAAAGCTGCTTGAATATATCTGCTTCTCACAGTTTAATGTCTTTGTCTCCAATTTTCTTCCCTCCTGTCAGTCTGGTTGTCGTCGATCTCACAGCATGACGGAATTACTTCATATCTCTGACGTTGTGCTTCGTAATTTCGACAATTGTCGCCTTACTTCCATCGTTGCGCTTGACTTTACAAAGGCTTTCGATACCGTCAATCTACTTTTAGCTAAACTGTAGTTATGCGATCTTTCTCACTCTGCTCTCTCGTTAATCTGCTGATTCCTTACAAATTGCACGCAAGTCCTCGTATATAATCCTTTTCCTCTTTTTTCATCGTGCCATTCTCTTAGGTATTCCCCAGGGTTCCATTCTCGGACCTTTACTCTTTATATCTTTGTCTCTGATTTGTCTAATGTTTCTCTATTCTTCGAGATCTTCATGTATGCAGATGATGTAATTCTTCTCAAATCTTTTCACCCATTTGATGTTTTAGCAACTTGTTCTGCTTTGAATACAGACTTAAAATTTATCGCCGAATGATCCATTTATAATGCCCTGCATCTAAATCCTTCTAAATCATCCTTGCTAATTGTTGGTTCCTCATTATTGTTATCTCGTATTCAGTTCTTTGATATTCTTTTAATTCTATTCCAATTCCTCGCTTCTCCTCTATTAAGATTCTTGATGTCCATGTTGATTCTTCATAGTCATTTCAATCACGTGGCCGTCAAGTGTCGGACTGCTTATGCTCGTTTACGTCTTTTTTATCTCTTTCGCCGCATCCTTTCTTGCTCTCAAAAACTCACTTCCTAATTACTTGTTATTTCTCTATTTGATTACGCTGATGTCGTCTACGTTCCTGCTCTTAACCAACATCTGATAAATCGTGTACAGCGTATCCAAAATTCTTGTCTTCGCTTCTCCTATTGTGTTCGTAAATACGATCTCTGTATTATCAAAGATCTGGCTGGCTTAAAATTTGGCAATGTTTTATTCTCCACCTGTGCTGTCTTGTATTTTTTCTCCTTCGCTCCAATACTCCTCTATATCTGCGATGTCTCCTTCAATTGAACTCTGAGCATCATTTCTCTTTTAACCCTCTTGTCATCAGATATCAGATTATTTATCCTTCTCCATATATCGGTCCACTAAGTTCCGTGCTGCTTTCTCCTACATCTCTGTCAAACATTTTAATTCCCTTCCTAATTTAAAAACCTCTCCTTCTCTATCCTTCTTTCGTTCCGCTGCCTCGTGTTTCATTGTGTCATTCATAGTATTATTCAAACGACTGATGTAATTGGTGTGTTTGTGGGTGTATGCACGTGTGTGTATGTGTGTGAATGTATGTGTGTGTGTATGTTTTCAACTATTAGTTTATCTCTTATTGTTATCTTATTCTGGTTTTGTTATTGGTAGGCATTTGTTAATAGCAATTTTGCTGAAGCCTAACCATTTGCTATTATACTATGTCTGTTGTATTTATGTTTATGTGAACTGTAGTCTACTGTATCATACTTTATGTCTATTACTCTAACATGTAGTCTTTTCTTATAGCTTTGCAATAAACTAAATTAAATTACTGCATACGAATGACACTGACTGACTCAGTGTTGAACCTGCAATGTTCATTAGTTTTTGCAAAAAGCCATTTGTTCACTAAAAACCTGTCTGCAAAAAACTTAATTTCTTCATCTTTGAGCAGTCGCACAGCAATTTACAAGGGTGATTTTTTTTCAAGAATTGCACTATCACGTACACTTAATAATAAAATGATTTTTTACAATTAAATTAAATATAGGATAAAAAACGCCTCTAAAAAGTGGATATTTTTTTCCGTATAAAGAAATGGAAATAATTTCATTAATATGCATCATAAATAGCCATGTGAAGCATTAGAGTTCTAAACATTTTTCTATGAATAAAAAAAAATGCAAAAAGAGGAGTATAAAACTACAGCACTAGATATTGTTTGTGAAATTTAATAAATTACATTAATAAGAATCTTTAGACGTTTCGGCCACAATCTGGCCATCTTCAGTAAAATAACAAATAAAACGCAAAATTTACATAAATTTGACATTAAATTCAGCCGTCGGAAATATTAGGTGTAGTAAAAAGAAATCCATTATTTTTCCAATAGATGGCTTTAGTAATCTGTATCTCGTGAACGCGTATAAACGTGTTCTTTCATGTTGTGAAGATACATCATACAACATGATTGCAGCACCAATTATCATATTGCAAGTTAGAACAAGAATTTTCAGATTCTAATTTAAAAATTAAACTATCGTTAATATCTTCTAGTCAATTTTATGAGGATTAACAAATCGTTACTTGTTTTACAGACAAAATGATGAATCTTAAGTACTTTTCTCACGCAAATGGAAATTCATCGTGACATTGTGTATTATTATTTGTCCATATCGTCATATATTACCGCTATTTATATGTATGTCAAAAGTTTAGATTGTTCTAGAATTATTAAGTGTAAGAGAGATCCTTCTTTAGAAAAGGCAGATAAACATCAGGCAAACTTTCAGTGTCACTTTACTTATTAATACTTATTAATACTTATTTGATTTTTTATATATCATTTCAGAAATTCTTCTTTTGAATAATGATTGTTCTGTATCTAAAATTCTGATATTATCCCAATCCAATTCATGCCTCTCTTTGGTGGTGTGAAACCACTGACATATCAGAGGTGGATCTTCTTATATCAACTTTATGTTCTTTGATTCAAGTTTTTAATTTCCTTTTTTTTTGGCCATTATAAGAAGACTCACAATCCAGACAATTTATCTTATAAACCACTCCACAATGGTTCTCTTTGCATACATGATCTTTCCCAGTTTTAATAAATCTATTAAGTTTATTTATAGGTTTGTAAGCAATATTAAAATGACTATGTGACAATTTTTAAAATTTTTCTGATACTTTACTTAAATATGATATTACAAAAAACTTTTTTCTTAAATTGGAATTAGAATCGTTTTCATTACTATTCCATCTCACTATTTTTATCTAAATTAACTCTATTTTCTTTTTATTCTGTTTTTTATTGTTGAAAAAATGAATTAAAGAGGATAACCATTCATTAACAGAGTGTGAACTAAGTCTGAAATATTTTTTTCTTGAAATTTCGGATGGGATAAAAACAATATTCTGTCTAATTGCTCGATGATTACATCCCTTTTATGCGCTAATGGATGATTCGAATATTAATTCAGATATCTTCCTGAATTAGTCGGTTATTTATGGTTTTTAAATGTCGAAGATAATTCTTCCTTCATGTCTCATTAGTTTAGCATCTAAAAAATTTATACCATTTTCATCGCCAAAGTTTACTATCCTTATTCTTTTATAATACGAGTTAAACAATTCCAGAATATTCTCAACTTTATCTTTATGCACGGACAATATAATATTATCAATATAACGGAAATAAAAAGACGAAACAATATTATTGATCGTAATAATTTCTTATTCTAAATCTTATAGAACAATATTTGCTAATATATAATCATCGGGCAATTAGACAGAATATTGTTTTTATCCCATCCGAAATTTCAAGAAAAAAATATTTCAGACTTAGTTCACACTCTGTTAATGAATGGTTATCCTTTTGAATTCATTTTTTCAACAATAAAAAACAGAATAAAAATTTTAGAAAATAGAGTTAATTTTGATAAAAATAGTGAGTGGAATAATAATGAAAACAATTTTAATTCCAATTTAAGAAAAAAGTTTAAAACATTTGTTTTAAATTGTTTTATAAAAAAGCATGTTTAATTTAATTTGATGTTTAAAACATGTTTTAAACATTTGTTAAAAAAAAAATTTTTAACAAAACAACTCTGGAGGGTGCGCCAGCGCGCAGTCGAGCAGGGAAGATCGATCCGCTCAGCGATTCGCGCGTATATTTGATTTCATGCGTTAAAATTTGCTAAATTTACATTTTCTCAGCAATAAATTTACGTGGAAACCTGATTTTTTAAAATCTGAGGTAGCTTAACGAGATATAAACAAATATCTCAACCAAATGTTTCGCAAAGTAATTGTAATCATGAAATTTTTAGTTTTTTGTTTCTTGAATTTTTATTTTTTTCGGTTTATTATTAAAAAATCATGTTTGAAGTGCATGTCTCATTAACAAATTTAAGTCACATTAGCTATGTTTCATTATTTAATATGCTATAAAAAGTGTCCAATTGGACAATTAAATATACGGAATTATCAGTATAAAATTGTTTTTGTGAATTTAATTGCAGATGCAAATATGACATATGTAAACAAATAATAAATAATTTGTCAAATGTTAGTGTTGAATATAGTTGCAAAATATATTTTTCATGTAACACTACTTTACTTTTATATTTGCGAAAGTTAGTGTTATATCTTTAACAGATATGCTAACATTTGGCAAATTACTTATTAATTATCTGCTCAAAGATGAAAAAATTAAGTTTTCCACAGACAGGTTTTTAGTGAACAAATGGCTTTTTGCAAAAACTAATCATCATTTCAGATTTGAACTAATGAATTGTTCAAGGCTAGATTTGTTTGTCATTACGAGGGCTACATTTTATGAGAATTTCAAAGCTTTGCGTTTAAATCTCAATGAACAGAAAGTAAGTGAAAAAAACGGCCTTGTTTTTTTTATTCTACAGAATTAAATAATAGATCGATTTTAAGGGAATGCTGGAGCGAAGGCCGAAGTTAATCGAGATCGATATTACAGGTTTTCATTTCCAATGTATAAGATGCTTACGCCCTCTGAGTTAATATGATCATGTAGGAAATTCGATCGATTAATTATCG